TTACATGCAGAGGCTCACACACCACCGAGTCCTGGAACTCAGAAGTGGCTCGACATAGAAGCTGACATGCAACAGTGAAATGTGGAGCCTGCCAGATATCTTTCCACTAGCCTGGGAAAGAGGAGCGCAGTAGGAGAAAAGGACATAAAGGAGAGACTGGAAGAGAACCACATAGTGTACAAGTACTGTAGCAAATACTGAATGAGCTGCGCCCCTTGATCTTCAATTAGACCACTGAGTGGGAGTAGAATGGGCTAAGTTAATCGTGGGAGTGATAGGGGAGAGAAACTGAGAAGAAGGGAGGAGAACAAGTGGGCATGTTGGCAGGAGAGGCAGAAAGATGCCAGCGATATGAATCACAACACTAACTTGGTGCTGCTGGTCAAGTACTTTTTAGTCATGCCGGTTGCTCTTCTCCGGTAAAGGGGTTGGTTAAGTGCTTCATAACTACCTTCACTATGTCTGGCGTAAGTGGAATTGAGTTATTACGTAGTCTGGACAGGGTTAAAAAGCTATTAAAGAAAAGGGGGCTGGGGTGTGTGGCGAGGCACGTTGGCTACGATCTGAGCTCTTGAAGGTCTGTGAGGTTGGCGTGGAATGAGTAGACTGTAACTGAGAAGTCTTACATCTCCCTGATAGAGTTGACCACATGGCTATCACAGTCCTTGAGCTGCAGCCAAACACACCCTGATTCCAGACACACAGCAATACTGTATCACACTCTGATGGACCCTCTCACATCGCAAAGACCGCATTAACCCTCATAATAGATAATGTGCATTATGAAATGTGACCCCCCAGTTCTGAGTCACAGTTTAAAGCATCTAATTGAAGCACACCATGTTATTTTTAGTTACTAATTTTATCAAAGTGTGTTTGCAGAAGTAAAACTGCATATGTGTAAAAGTTGTATAAAGCTGAGGAAACAGGATGTGTGAAATCTGAGTAACTGCCTCAAGTAATGTCAGCTGGGGAAGTGTGAAAATGAAAAAAATCTGGGGCTGTGGAGGTGGCAAGACGCGAGGTTACCATACTGTTGCACTGTAGCTCCCTATGCTTGCATGAGGCAAATCCGCTGGTGCTCAAGTTCCGTTGTGAGCAACATAGGCGTCAGGTTTTGATGAGGAAGTATGATTGGTTTCCAGGGAATAATTGCTTCATCTCTGATCTGGTTTTTACTTTAGGTATACTAACAGAGCTAATACAAAACAGGAAGAGGAAAAAGTTCCCTCAGTTGCACAGGGTATGTAGCTTTTTATTTGCATTACTACTGCAGCAGCACCTTCTTCCATACAAATCAGACCAAGGAACATGTGAGGGGCTGAGCTCAAATGCAGCCCGAGCCCTCTGAGGCTTAAGCTAACTGAAGGCCCAGACAATTGCTGTACATTGGCGTAGATAGATGTGCCTAACATCCTCTGTGGATAAGCAAGAGGCTCAGGTACTGGGACAAGGCAGCACCACTATGGCAGTGGACTGGAAAGATGATAACTTGTTCTCCTCCTACCATCAGGCAGCTGAGAAACTGGAAAATTATGACTATTACTGAAACTATTTTAACAAATGGTCAATTGTTTTAGTAATTTTCCAAGCGGAAATCCCCTTTTAGCTGTTTAACTTCCTAACTGCTCTAATATGGAGATGCTACAGAAACAGAAAGGCCTGCAGAGGGACTTTCACAACATTTATAATCATTATATTACAGCCATCATTAGGTTTCAAGGAGGAACCCACAATATTACTTTTTTACTGTCGTTATTAATGGCTTGGGGTTAGATGTATTATTTGATTGATGTATTATTACAGCTTAGAAAAACACTATAACATAAAATTGGCCCTGCAAGGCTAAAATAAAATTATTCAACCACCTGGCAATATGAAATGGGAAATGAGGAAAGACTCATTTAGAATTATTATGTTTCTTCCAGAAAGACAATTGGTCTATAAAAGAGAGCAATATTAGATGCTGTTCAGTCAGAGCAGAGAAACGCAGGTAGGGTGTGAAAGTGCTGGATCACTGGCCATTTGGGGACCCCTGCAAGGTCATTTATAACGAGAGGTTTGTTCCAACCTACCAACACCAGAAAGACATCATCTAATGAGGAAGGAAAAGCTGGTTTATTTTCTCTCTCTCAGGAGAACCATTTTTTAAGCATTACTAAAATGTATGTAGCTATACTGAGATCTGTTAGAAGTATTGTGATGTATATCTGAGATGAAGTACATTGACTCAAGGACTGTACAATTTTTAGGTCGTTTATTTGAGTATTTCCATTTAATGCTACTTTCTACTTCTACTTCACTACATTTATTTGACAGCTTTAGTTTGCAGATCCAAATTATTCGCCAAAAATGTAATCAACTAATGAATGATGATGTGTTATCATAAATAACGATACCTGGCAGTATATGAAGTATATTGTCCACCAGCTGCAACATTAATGATGCATCAATAATTATAATCCAATAATATAGATTACTCAGAAATGGGCTGTTCTGCGTAATAAATACTTTTACTTTTGATGCTAATACTGCACTTTTACTTAAGTAAAACTTTGAATGCAGGACTTTTACTGAAGTAAAAGATCTGAGTAATTTTTCCACCACTGCATTTGGTAAACATGTCTTCATTGCCCCACCCTGCTGTTGCCGGGGGATCCTGCGTGCTACCATCCTCACAGGTTTAATTATAAAGCATCACTGTCAAAGTCTTTCCGTGTTAGAAATTCTGCAGTATTCGTACGTCTATTCTCAGAGTGCACAGACAGAGTGACAGACACCTACAGTCAAAGCTGCTATCAGTTTAACAAAGCACAGCAGAAGGTCCAACACAGCAAAAGTAATGCTATAAAAATGTTTCATTTGTCTTGCTCAAATTCTAGCTTCGACTGACGTTGACACTGTGAGTGAAAGGTGATACTGATGAGGAATGGCCACACACACACTCACACACACATTGATATTGTACTGGGGAGGACACTGCACTAGCTTATATCAGTTCCACAGATGTTAACCGTAACTTTAACCATAACTTCTACATACCTAACACTAACCTTGATCTCATCCCTAACCTAATTCTAAACTTATCCCACTCTAACACATTAACACACAAACAGACAGTGGAAAGGGGTGAAATCTGACTGAGAGCCAGTGTTGATTTGCAGCGCTGCCAAGATCTGATCAGCCTATCTGTCGGTCAATTAAACTGGACACGGTGCGGCCATCCTCTGGCAATAAATAGATCATGGGAGCCCAAAACAGCTACTGCAACATGGAAGCTGCAGCTCTTACAACCGCTGTGAAAACCTGACAGAGACCGAGTTTAGACAGCGATAAGAACGTTACAGTTGAGATAACCCAAACAGGAAATGATTTATACTGTCTGCTGAAACACAATCCAAACACAGAGTCAGAATAAAAACAGTCAAATCTTAAGCCTTATAAAGTAGTGCAAGTTCTTTGAAGTTGCAAACTGTTGCACGTACAGCGTCTAAAACTGATAATTGCTCACAGACATGCAGTCTGAAAAAAAAAGGACTTGCAGTGTACCACGCAGTGTCACAAACAGCAGGAGGCACCTGCTTTAGAGAGTAATTTATTAAGGCCTAGTGTCTATGATTGGATTTCTGCTAGATACCAATAGTGTAACTTGCTCCCACAGTGGACATCCCAGCAGGGGGGTGTGAAAACGTTTGCCTACCAATACAGATCCTGAAGTAAGCTCTACTCACGAGAGTCTTGCAACTCTCTGATTTACTGTTACTAATGTGTTTTAAGAAATTCCAGCTAGCTTCAGTTAAAATGTGATGTGCATAAGGTGACTACCACTCTCTACTACTTTCCTGAGCTGCCACTTGATTTGTGGTACAAGAGGGCACAAGACCGTATGACGCACAGAATAAATTACAAGTTCAAGTGTTTCTGTTTATGATGTAAGCTGTGAGTTTATCAGCCAGACATGACAGCATGCCCTGCTAAAATAAAGTTGCTCAAATGCAGTAAGACCAATCAGTGTCCCACTTTCCAATGAATTCAAATTGTGTTCTTTAATTATTTTTTACATAGTCTTTCAAGACGTTCGTGGTTCCAACTGTTAAAGTCATTAAATATATTCATTAAATTTGACTGTGCCCACACACTCAGGTATTCCAGTGCAGGTTTGTCCATCATGAATGCATGAATTCAGTCTGTGTGTCCCACTTCTGGGAAATCTTAATAATAAAAACGACATCTTCATCTTACATAGCAGCGGCCTGCCAACTATCCGTCCTCTGACCACTCAGAGGTGGGGCGTTGGTTCTGTCTCAAGTAGCCCTTCATGCCGGTGTTTATAGACCTTATATTTTATTTACACCCACTAGTCTTTATATAGTTTCATTGGGTAATCATAAAGTCCTGTGGAGTGGGAGAGGTCACTATCTGCCTTCAGTTTTCCATGAAAGCCACTAGTATTCCCTTCATTGGTGAGCAGAGGAATCCACCTCTCACTGAGTGTGTGTGTACAAACCATACAACTTTACAACTGTAAATAGAAGACTGCAGTGTCTGATTCTTCATAAACATCACAGCCTCATTTGAGTACCAGGAAAATGGGATTCAAACATTTATGTAATGAAAACCAAAAAGCTGAAACTTTGGCCAGCATCCTCTATCCTGAGATACTATTACGCCCCCTTTTAATTTTCACTACCAAGCGTCATACCACAGCGTGACTCTAACTGATGTCAAAAGGTTGCTCTGATGGTTTGATAGATTTTCAGGTGCATTTCACACTCCTTCCCAACTTTCCTTTGTGGTGTGGGGAATGCAACACACCCCTTTTCGGGACTAACATCTACTGCAAGTGTAACTTTAGCAAATTCATGTGAATAGCCACATGTAAATTATTACCACCATATTCTCAATCCAACATTATTTGAAATTACTTAGTGATAAAAATGATAAAAGAACAAGCTTGTGCACACATTGCAGCCCTCAGTATCCCCCCAACCCCACCTCACCTGGTAGATGAGGACTTTGAAGTTGCGCCTCTTGAGCAGCTCGTTCTCGTTGCTCTCCAGCTTCTTGATCTGGCCCGCCTGCTTCTCCAGATTGCTGCGCACCGTCTTCACGTTGACACTGACCTTGCGCACCTTTTCCAGCATTTTGTTGACAGTGTTGGTTGTGCCAACATGGTTCTTAGACAACTTAGACAGCTCCCCTTGGATGGTTGACACTGACTTCTCCATGGATTCCTGCCGGGCCTCGAGTCCGTTCTGGGTCTGTTGGATCTGGTCTACCACCCCAATAATCTTGTCTAGCAGAGACAGAACCATGACCCCGTTCATCTGCGCTTCACTCTTGCCTCCGGGGCCAGTGGCCAGCAACAGGTCCGCTTCCTCAGCAGGGTCATCGTCATCTACTGCTGGCTCTGTGGCAGCACCCACCAGAGCTACCTCGTCATCATCATAAGGCACTTCTTTCAGGGCTGCCTGCTCCTGCTTGACACCTGTATCCGCCATGGCTGTCAACTCCAAATACAAACCGTCTGCACACTCACAACAGATAAAAATACACTACTGAAAACCAACCTGCAGGAGCCACGCTGCACAGAACTCAGTCCCTAATCCTTTCTCTTTTCTGTCAGACAACTTTCTTGACCACTTGTTTGCTTCTTCCTAGTTTACTTTACTTAAACTTTCTCTTCACCCTCGCTCTCACACACTATGTCTCTCTCTCTGCCTCTGCTCTGGGATGCCAGCCAGCCAAGGGGAGTAGGGCCTCTCACAGCTGAGGCATGTGTGCCCTGACTCAAATGCCTCTGCTCCCAGTCAAACTTTTCCCTTCTTACACCGGGCCCCCCGCCCCTGGCTCCACCCCATTCTGTCCGACGGGGCAGCAGATCTCCAGAACCCACCTCTTTTAGTGACATTACACACTCAATTTTAAAAGAAAGAGAAATACTAACACGTTTTATATGTCAAAGGCGTATTAGAGAGTGTGTATAATTGGTGGTGTAACAATTATGGAATTTAAGCCAACATGTCATTATAATTCTCCCCACTGTCAAATTGTTTCTATTTTAGCATAGACTGCACAGCATCACCTTGGTCATGCTAATTCAATAATCTAAACTTGTTTTTGCATAAGACATGTAGATTAATATCAAAAGTTGTCCACATTTTCAGTCAACATATGTAAAGTTGTAAAGTTGCCTTCTGGTTAAAAAAATGCTTCAGTTTTCTCAGTTTATTTCGAAAGTGTTCACCGGAAAACACAGATAGCCTGTCTCTACAACAGAATGAATACAGTTATTACCAATATTTATGTTACTGCTGCTATACGTAGCGCAGCTTGTGACGCTATGTGGAGTTGACAGTTGATCGGATAGTTTGTTGCCCTCTAGTGGTAACAACTTGAAACTGCAATGCAGACTCGCTTGCATACTAACTACTTTAAAAATACAGCGATCAAATTGAAGCAATTGAAAACAAACTGCTGTAAGTTGTTAATCATTCTCATCGCTTTCAGATTTTTTGTTGACTTGAGAAGATTTCACCTAGAAAGCACGGCATCATGACATTTTAATGTAAACACTAGCTAGCCAATATTTGTTTCACTGTTAGGGACGAACAAATTTAGATACAGAAACTTCCACCAGACCAAAATCAAAAGAATACAGTTCACGTATAAATGAAACTAGTTCGAAAATGAGCCTGGGTGATATTATTACTCTTGAACGCAGGTATTGAGAAAGACTAAACCTGTAAGTCAGGAACAGACATAGTCATGCAAATCCTTGAAAAATGTGGTCTTTCAGGAGACTGTACATATTAATATTAATAAGAGTTGACATTATAGTGATAGCACTGTTTGTGACACTATATTAGCGTATTAGCTTGCTGTCTGTATTTATAGTGTGGTAATCTGCAGTGCATATTACCATTCTTAAAATGTTTTGTCCATCTCCAGTTATTTTCTTGGTAGCCTCACATAGCCACACTACTCTCCACGCTTCCTTTTAGCGCTTTTCTCCCAAGACCGCCAAGCGAGGGTCATTGAGGTCGAAGGTGGGGGTCTCACTAGAACTTGGTACTAGTTAGTTTGTCCATTGGCAGTGATATAAGTCTTAAACAGTAACATTAGCCCAGAGTTGTAGAGCGTGTGTACTTTAAATTTTATTAGTAACTGAATGTGCAGTTTATATAGATTTACCTTGCCAAACACAACTCACTGCACCCATTCTCTCTTTTTTTTTTTTGCCATGGGGTATTCTGTGTGCTATTGATGAATTTTAACTGTATTTTGTATATTCTTTTATATTGTCTATGTGAATGTTATAAGATTTTAAGTTTTATTCTATTTTTGGACCGACTTTTTCAACATCTGACCATATAGATAGAAGGCTTAGGCTTACTTTGGCTCAACAGTGGTTTTATCTGTTGACCAATGAACACGGTCCCAGTCAAAAAAAACAACAACAACAAACAAATAAAAATAAATAAACTGTGGATAAATGACACAATGAGATGTTTACAACAGACATGCTGTAGTTACTTAAAGTTACCACTGGAGGGCACTGTGTGGTGAAAAAGAGATAATTTCTTTAATAACATGCAGGAAAATATACAGAAGAGAGAACTATGTGGTCATCACACAATAAAGGCTACGGAAAACAGGATAAAAGAGACCAGTGTAAAAAGTATATTACATATTTTTTTTTGGGGGGGGGTTTATTAGTGGGCGCTGGAGTAATTACACGACTGTCCAGTAGGCGGCAGTAATGCAACGTGAATGACGCCAACTACCGTAAAATGCAGAGCAGAAGAAGAGTCGACAGTTAAACCACCGACCAGTCCACAACAAACAGTGAAGAGGAAACTGAGGAGGAAAGAGGAGAGAGAGAGGTAGAATCTCCACCTAAACAGTAAGGACACTGAGTCTAAACACTGCTAATAATATTAATTAATAATATGGTTGAACTACTCTTAACGTTGGTGCTCTTATTGTGGGCTAGTTTAGCTGCAGCTCAAATGTTAAAACAACAGGTGCGCGTCGTTAGCCTTAAGTTAGCTTTCTTGTTAGCCCTAATTTACACACATTCACATTTACTAACCGAGCGAGATGAACTGTTATGTAAAGTAGGTGGCTAAAACAATTATATCAACCTAACTACTGTTAATGTTTTGTTGTACAACGCTCTCTTGTTTGTCATATAAAAAAATAACACTTTATTTCAATGCTTCGCGTCCACACAGTTGGTATTTTATTACTAATATGAGCTAAACAATGTGACTGTCTAACTCTGCTCACGTTATAAGTGGACTGTTTTGGTGGATCGGTAGACAGTGACAGGTTATTTTGGTTTGTCGTTAGTCGCCATTAGCTCGTCTGACATCAGCTTTGACAGGTGAAGCTGCGGCAGTCCGGGAAACGTCGCCAGACTAGTTCATTTAACCCTATCTGTCTCTAATCGATGAGTTAGCTCAATGCAAAATGATGACATTGTGTTGTTTTGTCGTGTCCCGTTGCTGTGTTAAATGGATTAATTTGCACTTTGCGTTGATGTGCAGTGGGAGTATCGAGGCTTACAGGAGCTGCAGGTCACATGCTACCTTGTAATCCATAGATAAGCCCTGTGTGGTCGTTTTACAGTAGGAGGTGTTGCTTGGCTTCAGTATATTATAAGAAAATATTCAGCATTAAATGACAGAAACCGCCTTATACCCTCACTTCCCTTTGCTTGGCATTCACGACTAAAATTATAGCCTCTTGAAAGTTCCCTATATTTTAATGGTACAGAGAAAACTCGTTTTCACCGTAACTGCATTCCTGCCTGATCATGAGATCTGCTTTGGGGGCAAGCTGACTTTTTTTTTTTTTTTCCTTTTCTCTTTTCATGTCTTGTCACATGTCAGCTTCTCACCCTTGTCTCAAACTAACACATAACTGATATAGGCCTGCTCATTAGTGAGAAAAGTGTTGAATGTGGAACCTTTCAGATCCTTAATGTTTTGCTAGAGGTTGTCTCTGATCTACAGTATACAGCGTGTTTTCTCTAAATCTGTGTTTGTTAATATTGAAGTGTCACTAAAGTTGAATTTTAATGTTCAGTCTCTAGAGATTCTGGTTGAATTAAGAGTGCTGAGCACTCGCATCCTTCAGCAACATGGGGGAACTCTTCAGAAGTGAAGAGATGACACTGGCTCAGCTCTTCCTCCAGTCAGAAGCTGCATACTGTTGTGTTAGTGAACTGGGAGAGATCGGGATGGTGCAATTTCGGGATGTAAGTCCACTGTTATCCTCTGAATCATGATTTCTTTATTGTTATTATTATTTTTTGCTCAACTGAAACTTGCTTTCTTAAACTGGTACCTGTTGTGCAAAACACCACATCAGTGACATTGCTGAGAAAGGGCATGCCTTCTGCATCATGTGCATCATGTGCTCACAGCTGATCCCTCATTCCACGCATGAGAAAGCCCATTCCTGACGAGCCCTGAGGGAAGCTTTGTGCTAGAATGTAAGATGGGCTGTAACAGAGTATGTCTGTGTATCAACGGTGGTATCTTAATTGTTTCACCAAATTATACTCTGACGTCTTCCACCACTTTAAAAGAAAATATATAATATTTTCAAAAGGTAATTTTACACTTCTTAAAAGAGTTTATTGATAGACTTAAATAAAAGACCTTATTAATGTGAGGGTAGTCAGTGGATAGCTATGCAGAATTTGGGCTCATCATTAAATTGTTGATGTCAGAGCAGCTTATATTCCTAATGTAAGTGTGTGTACTTGCTCTGGTACCCATACTGATTTTACAAATGTTACTGAGGCACAATTTTTATCTTTGTCACACAATGATAGTCTGTGTTCCGTTTCTTGACCCTCACTTATTTTCCTTTTCTGGCAGCTAAATCCTGATGTGAATGTGTTCCAACGCAAGTTTGTTAATGAAGTACGGCGATGTGAGGAGATGGATCGCAAACTGAGTAAGTGAGCTCAGATATATATATATATATATATATATATATATATATATATATATATATATATATATATATATATATATATATATATATATATATATATATAATCTTGTTGAGCTGCCTCTGACTGTCTCCAGCCCTTGGTGGAATTTAACAATACTGCCACGCCCTCTCCTGAAACACAACAACACCGTTTTATTTCCATTTCCAACTGTTAAAGAGCCATAACAAGGCCTTAAAAAGACCCTAAACTTAACGCACTCTTTGCTTATATGGAAGGGCAACTAGATGTTTACCTGTACTGTTTTTTTTTGTTTTTTTTTTACCTTGTTACATCTATCTTGCAGGATTTGTGGAGAAAGAAATAAAGAAGGCCAACATCCCAATAGTTGACACTGGAGAGAACCCTGAAGTCCCCTTCCCGAGGGACATGATCGACTTGGAGGTAACCTCTCTCTCGCTCAAAGATAAACAGTGAGAGAATGTGCTTTCATCCCTCTGTTGAACCTTCTGTACGTCTCCCCGCAGGCCACTTTTGAGAAGCTTGAGAACGAGCTGAAGGAAATAAACACCAACCAAGAAGCCCTAAAGAAGAACTTCCTGGAACTGACTGAGCTCAAGCACATCCTGCGTCGCACACAGCAGTTTTTTGATGAGGTCAGCTTGACTGTGCACACAGGCCTTGCAAAACTGTGTGCTCAGGACTTTTGTTCTGCTCACATTGTGGTGGTCTGAAAGAGAAGTTGGACTTTTACTTAGTATACTATACTATTATAATTATTTATCGCCATGGTTGGACAGCTTGAGAAAAAAATTTACTGTTTGATATGAATTCATAGATTATTGTGAAACCAAAAATGATTTACTATATTCACTGTGGCAATGGGCAAGAAACACAATGGTTAAGTCTAAACTCTGCTTTGCTCTAATACAGTTTGTGCTGATAAGCTGTCTGCACTGATCACACACACACACATATACACACACACACACATGCACACACACATACACAAAGGAGCGCTTATTGCTGCTTGATTTGGCAAAAGGTGTTTAACTCGTGATAGCTTATAGTTCCTCACATGGCCTTGGCCCATTTACACCAGCTATTCACATTAATATCCTGTAATTTCACTGCTGTGTTATACTTTGCACAGAAACAACTTTGTTTATGCTATCCATTCACCAGAGCAAAGCCTTGCCTTCCCACCTTTGCCCGACATCAATTCCACTTTATTGCCTTCACAAACAATGTTTAAGTCATCTTTTACAAGTTGTCGTGAGCGTTAATTGAGGTGAATCATTTAGCCAAACACATAGCTGTTTAATCATTAACTGGCTCTTGTCTCTCTCCAGTCCAGATCTCTACATTACAGTAACAGTGTTGACATGTTTGTATATATGTTAATGTAGTTCAAGCAATAGTTATGTGCCATTGTAGCTGATTATTTGTTAACTGACTCTTATGCAGATGGAGGATCCCAGTTTACTGGAGGAGTCTTCCACCCTCATAGACCCCAGTGAGCCTAACCGAGGGGCTCCTCTCAGACTGGGGTGAGTCTGTTTTTGTGGTCTTCCCTAATTCAGAAGGATTAAGCTTTTCTTGGAGATTTCCATTCTGTGCACTTCCTCCATCTGTGTCTGAAACCAGAGTGTCACAACTAGCCAATCACCTCCCACACACCAGCTCAGGCTGCCCAGCTTAGTCAGGCGACAAAGGTCACCTGAAGTGGAAATCTTTTCACAATCCATTCACAAATTCCTAATTGTGGAGACATTTCAGTTAATGTTATTACCGTGTTCAGCTTCTCGGGGAGAAACAACCAAAGAATAGACTGCAAATACACCTAGCTTTTAATACATTTAAAAAATGATCTATGTATATAAATTATCTTTCATGCTATGAAACGCATAGACATTGTTAGTATTTGAGCATCTGAATCTTTCTCAAAGTGACTTCTAGCTTGTATATAAAAAGGGCATAGCTCATAATCTTTTTTTTTTTATCCATATCAGCCCAGATAACAAACAACAACGGTAACAGAATTCTTCCGTCTGTTATAGATTTGTTGCTGGAGTCATTGGCAGGGAACGTATTCCCACATTTGAGAGGATGCTGTGGAGAGTTTGCAGAGGAAATGTGTTCCTGAGGCAGGCAGACATTGAAGATCCTCTGGAGGACCCGACTACGGTCAGTACTGACAATAAATTGAGCAGAGAACTACACTGATTTCCTGTGAAGCTGGTCAGGTGCCTGTTCAGTTTTCTCCTCCTGAAGTCCTAACTGTGTGATGTTTCCACAGGGCGACCAGGTCCACAAGTCTGTCTTCATCATCTTCTTCCAGGGAGACCAGCTGAAGAATAGAGTCAAGAAGATCTGTGAGGGGTAAGTATCTGGCCAACATTTGTACAATTTTATCGTGTTCTTGGCCAACAGATCCTTATCTGTGCTTCATCATCTGTCTTCAGGTTCAGAGCAACCTTGTACCCGTGTCCAGAAACACCTCAGGAGAGGAAAGAGATGCTAGCAGGAGTCAATGCACGCATTGAAGACCTGCAAATGGTAAACAAAAGAAACACACATTATTTAATCACTAACACAGACTTGCACAAAAACACACACAAACTGGTTGGTTCTCTTTTTTTTTGTTGTGTTTGTTCCTGCCTGGTCAGGAGGAACTGTACCAGAAAGTGACAATAGAGGAAATTTCGTAAGACATCAAGACAGTAATCCATCTACTCTTTACAGTTAATTGTCAGCTTCCTGCCTAGTTTCTGCACCGGATATTTTACAAGCAATACATTAATTTGATTTAGGTTGCACAAATGACAGCTCAGACACAGTTGTTTACTTCACTAGCCACTGGAAAGATAGAAAGCAAATAAGGGTAAGATGAGTAACTAAAACTAAAACATCAGGAAGAACTCTCTGTCGCTCTTTTGACAGACACAATGTACTGTAAATTCCGAGTTGATAAATGCTTTTGCAACTGCTGATGAACTCGTCAACCTTACCTTTAGCTTCGGCTCTGAGAATTGTCCTCCAGCAGGTATAAACTTTCCACTGTTGATCTTGTGCCTGCATCGTTTAATTCCACCCAGGTGACTTGTTACCTAGCAAAAGGTAAAGCCCTAGGCGATCCCTTCTTCCTTACTTAGCTTACTGTGTTGTATCTTTGTCATATGATGATACATCTGGCCATATGTGTTTTTTTTACATCACGTAGACTCTCATATCACAGAGATAATCTTTGTTGTATTTGCTTCTGCCTGGCCTAGAGTCAGTTAGAAGTGAATCTCTCACTTAACTTCATTCAGCCAGCGAGCTGTGTCAATTTTGGTCAAGCATCATGTTCTCAGATCTTATAAGGTGATTTACAGTTGCAGCCACAGAAACAGCTTTCACGAGCCGGATATCTGATATTTGGACAGAACTGACTGATATCCTCTCCTGGCTCCTATATACCAGGGAATGTGGATTTCAGTGTTTGTGGATGCAGTGTTATGCTTGTCGCTACGTGGGCATGAGAGCTAAATGACAGAATGGCATGGATGAGGAAGAATGTCATGCTAATTGGACACCAATCAGCTGTGTGTGGGCCAGTAAGCCTCTAAACAGCGGGCGAGACTGTGCCTGTAGGCAGACAGCACAGAGCTTAAATATCCTGCTATTTGCTGATCATGGGACTTGGCGTTATATGTGAGTCATACAGCAGCATACCTGGGTATATCCTATATCTCTTTTGGGAAATCCTAATGGATTGCACAGCCCATTGGTCTTTAACATATGACTTGCTGTTCACTCATCACACCAGTAAATGTAAATCCTTTCTATGAATATTACAGAATGTATGATTCATTGCTTCTGTTTTTAGTTTTCTTGTTATGACAACGTTTTCTGATTGTAGTGCACATTATGAAGTTAAAGACTTTACTTAGAAAGATGTAGAGATAGTAAATGTAAATGATGATTTGATGAAGTATAACTTGCTGGTTTGTTTATAACGCTCTTCTATAGCATTTCCCTTGTATTTATACAATGGAAACACGGAGTTTGTCATCTCTAATTACAAGAAAAATGACCTACATGAGATCCTCTGGTAGTTCCTAGAAAAGGACAGGGTGAATCAAAATGGTAGGAATAAGTGTGGGCTCCCACAGCAGACATCTGTCTCATCCACCTTTTGGCCTGAGGACTGTAGAGATTATGTTAATCTAGTATCTAGTAGTGATTGATTGATGTTTTAATTAATTAATGAATTAATTATCTAACCCCTTGGCCGAGATACGAGCAATAACAATGAGTTACAGATAAACATCATAAGACAAATTCAACAAATATGCCACAAAATTAGAGTTAAACAGAAATGTAATTTTAAGACCATGAGTAAGACTTCATTCTGACCATGACCACCTGTACTCTTGTTTGCCCCCCAAAGGTGCTGAACCAGACCGAGGATCACAGGCAGAGGGTCCTGCAGGCTGCAGCCAAGACAGTCAGAGTGTGGTTCATCAAGGTGAGGAAGATGAAGGCCATATACCACACCCTCAACCTCTGCAACATCGACGTCACTCAGAAGTGTCTAATCGCTGAGGTGTGGTGTCCCGTCTCTGACCTGGACTCCATCCAGTTTGCCCTGCGCCGGGGGACGGTGAGTTAACTGAGCACCAGGCCGTCTATGTACTATTTAGTAGGTTTTTGTTAATATTGTATTGACACAGTCACACAAAGCCCCCTTTTTATTCTTAGAAAGTAGAATCTGGTTAAAATGTACCTGGTTATCTATTGAATGTATCACAAACTAGTTTGAAACCAACAAGTCTAAACTACGTCAGTACAGACTGGGTGTTCCACTGGCAGTGTACTCCAGCTTTTGTGTTGAGTTAAGGTATGTTTCTTTTTAAATGAGTCAACAGGAGGAGCTTACAAGTCATAGCGAGGGCAAACACAACATGCAGGTTCCTCTCAACAAGAAGTAGAGTGAGTCCAAATAATTGTATATTTATATTTTTAATAAACTACAATTGCTGGTTGCACAAATTCCCATCATGGTGACCAGTTGCAGGTAGTGAATGAGGCTGTGCAAAACAGTTAAGTTTAAGCTGTCTTATATGAGGCCGTATCAGTTGGTAAGACTAGAAGTCTGAAAATGAAAAAAATCTGGGCGTGTGGAGTTAGAAAGAAGTGAGCTTATCAGACCTCTGTAGCACGCTCCTCATCTCTGCTTGAGATTTATGCTTGTCAGTCAGAGGATATTGTATGATTGCAATGTCAAATTGCTGGAGTGCTCTTTTAACTGAATTGCAGTTGTACACATGGCAACAGAGGCTTGGTGCTTTAAGGCATGGAACGGTCTCTCCACTCAATTATCTCTCAGCTGTCCTTTACTCTGCTTGTCTTGAAACATGAGGCCACGGTGTACTGTGTTAGGATCTTATCTGTACCCCTATTTCCACAAAGTTGTCCTGGCAGGGAATGGCAACTCGATAAATTAATTTCAGGATCTTTTTATCCATTTATTAAAATCAGACAGTGCTGTCAGATGAGAGCAGTGATGGGCTGAGAGACCCTTAATTGTATTACTTGAGAAAGCAGCAGGATGAATATGATTTATGCCAGGAAAATAAACAAACAAGGGTTTGCTGATGATATCCTGCTGACCTTTATTTCACTAAAATTCAACTTCTAAAAATTGTGGGGCGGGGGGCGTGAACTTTATTCGGCTTCTGAAGTGGGGCCTGCCAAAATAAATTTGAGAACCACTGCTCTAGGGTGGTTGCATTGCTTCCAGTCTCTTGAATGGCCTGTGTTTGACTGAGATTTCTTGTCCATTTGTGAAATGTTCTAGTAGTTCAAGGAAATGTGTATCATAATAGGCTATTGTGTTGCATGACATTTAGGAGAAGAGCGGCTCCACTGTGCCTTCCATCCTCAACAGGATGCAGACCAAGCAGACCCCACCCACCTATAATAAGACCAACAAGTTCACCTCAGGCTTCCAAAACATTGTGGATGCCTATGGAATTGGCAGCTACCGTGAGATTAACCCAGGTAATCATGTGTAACCTTTCTTTGTACACCCTAAAATACCTCTGTCTGTCGTTGCCTTGACCATCAGTGTTGTGCTGTATCTTTTTAAGGCAGTTGAACTTTTGCTGTTTACCCAGCTGCCTGTAGTATTACACTACAGTCACTGAAAGGCTTGCTGCCTACTCTGCCTCATCACCCATTATCACCTTGTTGGAACATGCTGTGTATTGTGACCTGTTTCACTCATGTTGTTTCATTTGCAACACCACCCTCCCCTCATGTGACGCCTGCCTCCCTCACCTCCAGCACCATACACCATCATCACCTTCCCCTTCCTGTTTGCGGTCATGTTCGGTGACCTGGGCCACGGGACGCTCATGACCTGTGCTGCCCTGTACCTTGTGCTGAGAGAGAGCAGGTTGATGGCCCAAAAGAACGATAATGAGGTATGGCTCCCATCATGGCCATCTCATCATTACTACGCCATCCTTACTGGTGATACACCAGCCCCAGAGACATACTGGGCTTGGTGCTTCTGTGGCTCTGTGTTCATAATTGCAGACATTGTTTTTCTTGTTCGAGAAGCCCATGTTGATTTCAACTTATCTCTCATTGATTGTTTTTTTCGTGGCAGATGTTCAGCATGGTGTTCGCAGGACGTTACATCATCCTGCTAATGGGAATCTTCTCAATCTACACTGGTATTATTTACAACGACTGTTTTTCTAAGTCCCTCAACGTGTTTGGCTCTGGCTGGAGTGTCAGGCCCATGTTCGACGCTCGACTAGGAGGCAACTGGACGTAAGTGTCATTGGTAATCACTGGCTGGACCTTTTCTAACCCAGTTACTGCTCAAGGTTTGCACCAAACTGATCGCTGTTCTCATCCTGTTAAGGTTTGATACACTGGAAGGCAATAAAGTTTTGCAGTTGGATCCAACAATAGATGGAGTGTTTAAAGGCCCGTACCCCATTGGCATCGATCCGGTGAATATTTTTCTTTGTATTAGTACAAACTAGCATAGTTGTCACTGCATGCTTTCGAGCCATGTCTTGGCAAATGAATGTATATCAGTTATAATAATTCATCAATAATGGCTTGTTGCTGAAATCTAATAATTAATAGTAGTGCTAACTTAAACTTGCTTATATAACTCTGTTGATTGAATATGATTAAAGGATAAAGCCCACTCTAAGTGATATGATATTGAACATGAATTAACAAAGAGTGATTTTGTCAGTATTCAACCTTCATACCCTCTTGTAATTTTGTCCCTCAGATATGGAACATTGCCACCAACAAGCTGACGTTCCTGAACTCATTCAAGATGAAGATGTCTATTATCCTGGGAGTCATCCACATGCTGTTCGGAGTCTCTCTCAGTCTCTTCAACCACCTGTGAGATTATCATCCCCGTTAATACTCGCATTTCTTCTTGTATTTCTTTCTCTTTAAATTTGTGCATAGTTGCCATAGTGACAAAGTGATTGTTTGTTTGTTTGTCTGCAGGTATTTCAAGAAGCCACTAAATATCTACTTGGGATTCATTCCAGAGATTGTCTTTATGGCCAGCCTGTTTGGCTACCTAGCCATTCTGATCTTCTATAAATGGTTCTCATACGATGCAAGCACCTCCAAAGATGCTCCCAGTCTCCTCATCGCCTTTATTAACATGTTCCTCTTCAACTACAACGACCCCAGTAACAAACCTCTCTACAGAGGACAGGTCAGACACACTTCTTAGTGACATACCTCCAACTTTTTGTCCTGAAATGAACCACAGCAAGTTAAGTGTTCTTCTTTTAATGTTTTTCTTTCTCTCCTCCCCACTGGATATGTAGATGGCCATACAGTCACTCTTGGTGATTATCGCCTTGGCTTGTGTTCCCTGTATGTTAATAGTGAAGACTCTAGTTCTGCGGAGACAGCATTTGTGGCGGAAAAACCTGGTAAGATAAAGCAGACCTGAAAGTGGTATCACTTGAAAGAATGTATCTTAGCTCAACCAGAAACACAATAAGTTATCTTTTTTTTTCTGTGTCAGGGTACCCAGAACTTTGGAGGGATCAGGGTGGGCAACGGGCCCACTGAGGATGAGGCTGAAATCATCCAGCATGACCAGCTCTCACAGCACTCTGAGGAGGAGCCTGAGGTAAGAGAGACATGTCTTTGTTAGTGACGGCTGGCCAGCAGTTTAGTGAGGGAGGCGGGGGTTATAGGATCTACTCACACCTTTTGAATAATTCAGTCTGCCACCGATACCTCATGTTTCCACTACCACTGTGGCAATGAAAAACATCAATTATGGATGAGGGTCCACTTTAACAAGCTCCACACTGCCACCGTTAGATTATAGCAAATGCTATCGAGAGATTCAATTATAAAATGTCCTTCTGTGTTTATTTCACCGAGCTTTGTATGAAGCTGCTTGTAAATATAAAAGAATATTCAGACCATTCAGGTTGTTTGTGGTACATCCTGAAGGGCTTTAACACTACCAGGAAACATTTGTGCTGAATTGTGAATTGTTTTATGTGGGCCTTGTGTTATCATCCTGTATTGCTGGGTTCACCCTATTTTCTTTTTTTAAGAGAGTAACTGATGTCTCTCGTTACTTTTCTGTTCATTGATGTCTGTCAATCTGTCTGTGTGTGTGTGTGTGTGTTGTCAATAACTAAGCGTTGCCTTTTGTCAACTGCTGTCAAGGCCCATGAGGAGGAAGAGGTAGGACAGGAGCTCAAGCTGCACCTCTACCCTGCAACCTATCCCCTGCATGTCTAGCGTCTCTTTCTGTCCCTTGCTTTGTTGTCTATGTATACTGTCAACCATTGCCTGCCTTAGCTGTGTCTGTGTGTGTGTGTTCATGTAAGTGGTAGTCGGTGTGTGTGGTCGGTGTATTCCAGGAGTCACTTGTTTAAACATGGGTTGCTGGGATTCCTCAAGCAGTGGTGTCAGTAGGCTGGTGCTTCCTTACAGTCACATCAATGTGCACGAGGCATCAGCAGGGAAGCTGATTCTCTGGGTTTACAGGGTCCTAAGACAACGGTGCCTCTTTTTCTAATTTAGGGGACTTTGCTGATGTACAGTGGGAAATGGCTTTCCTATCAATTACCTGAATAATTATGCACACACACCCAAGTCTCGTCCTACGTGGACCTCAGGACCTGGCGTAGAGATGTTATTTTCTAGAGGTTCGTGCTGAAGTGCGGTTATGTTTTGATCTTATACCTCTGTCCCACAGTTTAACTTTGGAGATGTGGCAGTGAATCAGGCCATCCACACCATAGAGTACTGCCTGGGCTGTATCTCCAACACTGCCTCCTATCTGAGGCTTTGGGCCCTCAGTCTGGCTCATGCACGTAAGTCACACTCTAATTATCAAAGTTTAAAAGTTATACAACCATTTATGAAGAGGAATGGACATCTACGCCCATCTTCTACATGCTCAGTCAAGTTTATCACAGCGCTGAAATCTGTGTGCTTTCTTTGTCCCATGCACAGAATTGTCAGAGGTGCTGTGGTCCATGGTTATGCACATCGGCCTCTCTTCCAGAAGCTTTGGAGGCTTCTTCCTTTTGGCCATAGTCTTTTACTTCTTTGCTGTTCTAACAGTTGCCATTCTTCTCATTATGGAAGGCCTGTCAGCCTTTTTGCATGCACTGCGACTGCACTGGTAAGTAGTGTAATTATGTTCTTTTGTTGCATTTGTTTGTTTGTTTTGCTTTCTCTTTTTTTTTTTTACCTCTCCTCAACGTAGATCTCAGTTTCCTGTGCTTGATCTGTAGACTCAATAATGATCAGTTATTAATTGTTTGAAAGGGTGTTAACAATTTGTGAGGCTGTGTTTGATGTTGGTGTAAGAATTGCACACTTTGTACCTATTTGACAGAAAAACATTCAGCTCCTGTTCTGATAATCTACTTTAGAATTTTGAGCATCTAATCCAGCGTTCAGAAGATTTACACACAAGCATCAATCCAAAACTAAGTTGCTGTACACTGGATTTGCGGTTTTAAAAGATGAGGATTTTGCTAATGACAAATGACTGCAGGCACCGTAATCCACTGACCTATAGCTCCATCTGCAGGCTAGTTTTTACTTTGAAACGGTTTATCAGACGACTATCCTAGGGTGCACAGAAACAGATTTATAGATGAGAGACTACTGCTGCTGTTTGTCATTTTACACAATAGGTGACAAATTCAAAATATGACTTTCAACTTAAGGAACCGGGACAGCTTCTTTGTATTAAAAATGAAATTTGAATATATCAAGGGACACAGTTGGTACTTGGTGTAAATTCAGTGTAGACGAGACAACCATTTATTTAGAAAAATTAAAAAAAGTGAAACACAAGTCAGTTGAGCACACAAATTATATCAGAGGAATTAGTTTGTATTAACTAACTTGTCATCAGACATTATCAGTGCATTTCATAAACTATCTACTACACTAAAAATAGTATAAATTGAGTATAGCTGAGCAAAAACACCAGACAACAGGTTATCCTATTTACTATTTACCTTATAGGTACCCAATAGTGAATTCACAACAAAAATTATGTAAGGACACATTCACAGTGCCAGGGCGCGGCTGCCAGTCAAGGACGGTGTGTCTCAATTAGAAGTGAGCAAATTGTGGTTTGCTTTCACCCGCTCCCCTTCTTGGCCCGTGGCCTGGAACATGTCTGGCTCTAGTCACTGTGCAGACGGTGCATTTCTGCTGCATGTGTGTGGTGCAGAGCAGTATCCAACTCCTTGGTATGACCGGGAACAGCCTTTTGTTGTCTCCCTCATTAATGCCTTTGTCTGGCTATGCTGAATTTCATCCTGGTTTTATAATCCACTGGCACATTTACAGGGCATGCCTGTGTCGCAGCCACTCTTCTCTATAATTATCCTTTATACAGGAATGCTGGGTGACTCAGCTTTCACTAAATGGCCTTCAGGGACAATCGGGTGCAGTTTTGCATTCAGGGAAGCTTATATAAAACACCAATTATAATATTTTATTTCCAGTGGTTGCATCAGGACCTCATGTGACTACTGAATGTCACACGAAAGGTCTGTCTAAGTAGAAGTAGACAATGTGTTGCCATTAGGTGCTCGTCTATCCAGAGATTTTCTTTGAGAAACCCTGGAGACCTTAACCATTAAACACTAATATACTATCCGGTATCATCGGTTGGCTAAAAAAGTAGTAAGATAGTGTTTATAATCTCAAAAACGAATGTGGTTCATGAATTTTGGGGATGGTTCTGTACAGATAAGACTTGATATCATTATAATAAGAGCACCAGTTTGGATTATTCCTGAGCGTTTTTTTACAAGAAAAAGTGCAGTCATATTTTTAAAACCTCCTCGTCTTACTTTCGTACACCAGACAGACTACGGAATGGCAGGTATTCGCGGCTCCTCCGTTGAAAGGTCATCCCGCTGTCATTTAGCTTCGGCCTTTTTAAAAATAGAGCCTGATCGCTTTCAGAAGGGAAGAAGCTTAGGTATCTGGCCCCCAGGAGCAGGGATGTAGACACGAACGGTTGCAGGTGGGTGCGGACTGTGAAATGAAGAGTAGGGGTCATCTGCCTCTACTGCTCTGCTCGGCATTGCCCAACCTCACAGCCATCAACACTCTGTCCCAGTGTTATTGTGCGAGACGCTTCCTGCTCATTGTTTTTTTTTTTTTGTTGTTTGTTTTTGATTGGATCTCTATTTTCTGTACAGGGTGGAGTTCCAAAACAAGTTTTACTCGGGCCAGGGCTTCAAGTTCCTCCCCTTCACCTTCGAAAGCATCCTGGATGGGAGGTTTGAGGACTAAGATCTGACGACGACGACGACTCCTCTTCTATTAAATGTCATAACGTCTTGAGAGTCTGTGTGGTGTTGAATAGTGATTTTTGTGTGCGATGCAGTTAACGACTTCCCGAGTGTTACCACATCTACAAGAGTGACACTCCAAAAGATTATCTGTCAGACTGCCATTTGTTTTAAACATCACTTTTTAAAAATAAGTATCTAAATCTGGAACAACTCAGAAATTACTATTCATTCATTCATTCATTCATTCCTGAGAAAAATAGCATTACTGTTATGTGTCTTTGTCTTAGTGAAGTTTGTTCTCGTGTTTTATTTAGTTTAATATTATTTATGCAAATTATTCCTTTATAAACCTGCATTTCTTTTTCAATGTGGCAGTGTTGCACTACCAATCAGAAATTAGGTCTGTTCTGTGCAGATGTCTCGACCCATTGTGTTGACAGATGCTTATTCAGAGTAAAGTGACAGAAGTGTTTGCTACTTTCCTGTCCGTCTCCTCCACTTTGTTGTATCTCTTTCTCTCTGTGTCGTCATTGTCCTTCAGCAACACTTAACACCTTGCGCACATCTCCTCTGTTTGATTTAAAGAAAAACCAGACACCCGCTTTGCACACGCAGACGCCTCTATTACACTGCGTACTGACCTCACACGTAGAGAGCTATAAAGGTCCAAAGGGAATACGATTTAACTCGCATCAGGATGTCAGTCCGCGCTTTGAAGATGGAGATGAAATGATTGTTTAATCCTGCACTAACATTGCCATAAACGCCCCTTTGTGTTCAGTGATTTGTTCTCTATTGATCTTCAGTACAGAGAATCTGTGAGTGGATGTCCAGTGACAATCCCAGCATGCTGAAATCGTTCAGCAGTGTCAGTCGTGATGATTTTCATTCCTTCTGATTTCAGTCGTATGTTTAAAGTTGAAAATGTTATTGTCACACTTAGAAGGGAGTAAGACTGGCATACAGCAGACATGTTTAAGTAGAATTAATTCCTCACAAATCATTAATACCGACGTCAGTTGTGCATTTCTGTGTCAATAAAATGGAAAGAGCTGGATTAAGTTGTGTTTGGTTTATAAATTTTTTTTCTCGTGCACTTTCTTTACATAATCTGCAGCAGTGGTGGAAGTATTCAAATCCTTACTTCAGTAAAAATAATACTACACTATAAAACTAATGTAAAAGTCCTGCATTCAAAATCTTAAGTATGACACTGTTATTATCAACTAAATAAATAATTGTCAATAGCTGGAAAAGAATACATGTTTTTTGGGGCCTTTATTGCCTTTAATCGATAGTGACAGCAAACGGGGTAGAGCGGGGACAACACACACCCGTGGCCTGCAGCAAGGACTCCTACAGCCTCGGAACATGGGGCACCCGCTCCACAAGGTGAGTCATGGGGGCACCCCAATAAACAGACTCTTCATCATATTTTTATCAACTAATTATATATCTTGTACTATATGAAAAACCTTTAATCACTAAAATAACTGGTAACATCAGGTGTTAAAGAGGAGTAAACAGAATATTTCCTGATTAAATGTATAACAGTATGAACTTGAGGGAAAGGACTTAATTATTTACCACCAGTGCAGGGGTGGATACATGTCACATAAATGAAATTAAAAACTGCCCCCAAAAACTAACAATAACCACAGTTTAAAAAAAACAAAAACAATCCAGGAGAGGCTGGTTTCAGTGTGTTACCGCTCCTCTTGGTGGTGCTATTGAACAGACTGTGCAGTTGTAGTGGTCCATGAGAAATAAGTGTTGTGTTTTTTGTCCCCTCTGTCAGACGTTGTAATGTAAGCACCTACAGTTGTCTATGACAGATGAATTACTATTCTAACCTGCTTGAATGCTGCTGAACTCTGTGCCTGAAATAGGATACCCGCCATTTATTTGGCAAACTAAAGGGAAATTACCTGTACACTCTTATTGCATTGCAAATAAATGCACAGTTCTATATTTTGTGCATAATGGGCCTTTTCTTTAACATGTCACTTATCATTGAGTAATCGACCGGGTTCGCTCGGTCTAGACGCCTACAGGCAATTATGTTATAATGAGTCCAAACTGAGGTATGAAAGGGTTTGTTTGACTCTCTCAGGCCTGTCAAAAGCAACAGGAAACATTAAGCTATATGTAATATTACATTTTCATACCTCAGTAGTGGTGGAATAACTCACATCTTGTTCTTAAGAAAACATCGCTATATCACAGTGTGTAAATACTCTGTTACAAGTACAAAGGTATTGGCATCAAAGTATACTTAAAGTAAACACTTATTATGCAGAATGACCCATTTACCTGCTTTCCACCATTGTAATTCAGCCCAAAAGTGTAACATATTAGGTTTTTTGGGCCAACATTAAGTCTGAAAAAATGTCTTGTCCTACTGGTGGTTTGGGAGGCCCCCCACAATAAAAACCTCTGAGGATGAGGAACATCATGTTCTGTATCCTGTGTGTATTTTTTTTTTTTTTTTTTTTTAAGGGGAATGGCTGCTATTAGCAACAACAGGCCAAAGTAATAATAGAGCTCTTTATTTATCTTACAATTTTTTTTGGACGAGCTCATTTAATTTGATATTTCCCAGCGTGTCATGTATAGCCAGGGGTGAGAGCAAGCTTGCATAAGAGCCCCAGAAATCCTGCTGTGTTTACACTTCCAGGGACTTTTACTTTGCCATTTCAAAGCATGAACCCCGATGAGACTCAGCTTATTATTTTGCTCCTTTATCTAAGGCAAACAGTAAGTGCACTTTAGTTTGGCAGAAGAGTGTTTCTAGGAATGTTGTATTTCTTGTAAGGTTATAGTAGAATTTTCTTTGGGATAACAGAGATGCTTTTGCAGCTGGTGTAGTGCTGCAGGCCTTGGTGTCCTCTTGATCCAGGCACTGCAAAACAGAAACAGCTCCACCAATGGCAGCTAATGATCCACAAATCAATCAATGTAATGCTGTTCAAAACTGCAAGAAAGAACAATTCATCGCTTAATGTATGTGAACAAACAGTAGTGTTTGGATATTACTCCGACTGGCCGGAGTCTGTGCGGCCTGAAGAACACAAACTACGGTATATTTTAATGAATCTGCAAGAAATCTCTCTTTGCTGTATGCTTGTTGGCATTACTCAGGCATCGTTCGCATCTCTGTGAGATGACGGATTCGTGAGAAGGATTTTTTTCCCTTTCTAAGGTACTGTGCACTCTGCAGCTGTGGAATAATATTGATGTTCTCCTTTCTTCTTCTGTTTTCCACCCACACACATTTTTGTGCCCAGTGTTAGACTTCCAGACAAACAAATGATTTAAAGAGCAGCTCACATCTCATGCCACTGTGCTGTTGTTATGGAAGAAATCATTAATATTGGGCCTTTTATGCAATATTGCAATATCTTTGACACAGATTAAATAAAATTTATTTCAAGCACATGTTTAGAACAAAGGAAACGGTATTTCTTTACAGTGAGATAATAAATAATCATGAATCTCACCTAAAAGTATTCACAAATATATGATCAAAGAACTTAAAATGCATTAAATTGCTGATCAAACTTCCATTTTACACACACACACACACACACACACACACACACAGAGTTTTAGTATGTTAGCATGCTCACATTTGCTAATCAGCAGTAAACACAAAGAAACCCAGAAAGATAGGAATGTAATTAATTTTGCATATTTAAATTTGAACCTGATGAGGTCAGGGGGTCACCAATGTCATCCTCTGGGGACCACGAATGTCTGCACCCAAATTTCATGCCAATCCATTAAATAATTATTTTGATGTATCAACCTGGAGCAAAGTGATGGACCGACTGACAGCCAGCTTTATGGATGGCATGCGGTTTGTTTAATCTTAACCGTTAAGACTGAGATAATCTGTTCTCACTGATATTTCTAGCTCTTGATCCCTCTTGACATTCATCTGCCACACGGTAGAAATAAAGCCTGTCATGTTGACAAGACAGAACGCCGCAGGCTGTCACATCAGGAATTATCACGGCTGACAAACAGAGAAGGTAAACTTGTTCATGCCGACGTGACTGACAAGCGGGTGCATTCGGCTAATAGAAGGCCCAGGTGAGTCTGGGAGAGCGGAAGTCGCTCTTTAGTCAAAGGGCTTGCACCTTTCCACACCACTGGGATTTTATTACCAGGTCTCCAGATAACATTGTTCCTCAAACAGGTTTCCATGACCCCTCTGACCCCCAGCTACTGTTTCCAGGCTCTTTTTTCACACACCGATTTGGCCGATTACATCAGGAAGCTTCAAGACAATATGAAAATTTGACAGCGATGAAAAAGTTGAGCGCGCACACACGCACATACGCACACACAAAAGCATGCTCACATCTCTATACCTCTGTGGAACAGAGTTGCATAACACAAAAAGCCAGGAGAAAGGGAAAAGGAGGAGAAAGAAAGAACTTGGATAAAAAGATGTGACAGCTGACTTTTTGACTAATTAATTGTTCCAGGTTCCAGGAAACCTTGAAAATATTCCTGGAGGCAACAAGTTCCACTGAAAAGTTACCAAGTTCCAGAACAACATGTTTGTTTCTTTCGGCCTCAAAATGTTTAACCGCGCCCACAGAACTCATCATATGGACAAAGCTACAAGTGGCAGCTCACAAACCAAACAATATTAACCTTAAAAGGCCAGGAGCCGCTGCCAGGAAGAGGCTTTATTACAAGCACTTCTCTGCTGCTGCGAGTAATACTTGAGTACAAGTGACAGTTTCATCACAATCAGAAGACAGCCTTTCAAATGATAGCGGACTCATCTACTAAAATAAACATCTTAACAAGTCTTTAACCATGCAATCATTTAATCTGTTGGTCAGTCCACCACTTTGGTCTGAGAATTAAATAACTATTCCAAGGATTGCAATGAACGTCTGTACATTGATGGTTCCTGGAGGTTGAATCTAATTGACTTTGCTAAAGGACACAAATTAAATTTGTCCAATACATTGATCTATGACCAAATTCCTGCAAAGCCAGTGGCATCAACCTCAGCAGTACATTTAGTGCTAATTAGCAAATGTTTGCGTTCTAACATTGTAAACTAAGATGGCGAACGTGTAAGCTTGCTCACATACGGCCTCACAGAGCGGCTGGCATGGCTGTAGACTCTTGTTTAATGTTGTATTGAACCCTAAATGTAAAAAGGATTTAAAAACAACAGCTTCCTGCAGTAAGAGAGAGGTAATGAATGCAAGTAGACTGGCATCTTAATTTATCCCTAGAGTAAATCTGTCTGAATCCTGAATGTGTTTTCTTGCGTGTGTGCGTGCGTGTGTGTACTATGTGTGTGCTCCAAATAACTCCCTAATCCAGTACCATAGTAAACAAGGAGAGCGCTGCGGGTTGAAAATCAAGAGCTCGAAAAGATCCAGACCACCAGAATCTGTTCCCCGTCAGTCTGAAATCCTGGACTCCCTCCCAAGTTTGTAGCAAGTCAGCGGACAGAGTTCACTGTGGGTACTCTGGCAAGTGTGTGTGTGTGTGTGTGTGTGTGTGTGTGTGTATAAACTGCAGTTTAAGTAAATGTGATTGGGCATTCATGTGCACGACGTCCTGCAAATGCAAACAGAACTGGCAGTGTTTTTGTTTCTTTCCATGAGCTTACCCACATTGAAATTGAACCTTTTAAGGATTAACTTAGCAGTGTCCCTTGTTTTGGTTGGGTTCCTTACACAGCTTTTGAGTTGAAAAGTTCTCTCTGAGCTCAGTGTGCCTATTGTGTGGCTTTTTTTGAGTACGGTGTGTGCCAGTAGTGCCCCCATGTTGAGGGAGGATATAGTCACCGCAGACAGAGGAAAACAGGCAGCAGCATCAGGTCGTGCTACTCTTTGTTGAGAATGCTTTTGTTGTTCTTCGACCGTTTCCAGGGACAGAATAAATAGCCCTGCTTAACCAAAGGCATTTGCCTCCCTCGCTGCTATGAATGCACCACCATGAGAAACATATTACCAGCGGTTACGAGTGTTTTGCCTCTTCTGGAAATTCTCCCCTTCTTTTGCAAGAATTGCTGTGACACGTG